TCATATTTTACCAGAACAGCCAGGCATTGAAGTTTCAATGCCCCCTTCAATCCCATGGAAGGAACTGGCATCCATATACATATCGACATCTTGTATTGTCCGGGAAAGAGGAATGGGTGGAAGTCCTCCTCCCGTCTTTGTCATCTGTCTTCTGTTCTCAGTAAATTTCAGTTTGGCTTCTCTACACATGTTGCTCCACTTGTCTTTGACTTCTGTCAAACTCCTTTTTGCCACCCCCACAGCATTAACTTTACTAACAATTTCAAGCCAAATAGCTTGCTTCTTAGCATTGGTAACAGTAATACTATGTTTTGCCTCCAGAATAGGATGGAGTTTTACCTCATTTTTAATAATTTCTACCTCAGTTAAGGAGAAATTAGTGCTCCTAGCTTTCCTATTCTTTTTCAAGCAGACGTCAGCCATGATTGTGTACAAAGGAAGTAGAAGTGCATTATGGGTAACCAAGTGATTACCAAGTGATTAAAAGCAGCTAACACAGTGTAAGCTAACCAATGCGTTAAATTGCTTTCAAACAACAGAATTTAACCACTATGGTAGCTAGTCAAATGATTAAGGTTTAACACATAGTCATCCTTAACCATTGTGTTAAATTTAACCATTTTTTGAACAACCGGAGTGATGAAGACGGACTGAAAATTAAATTTTATTCTCCAAGTGACATATGTCAACCAAAAATTTGTTAAAAACGAAGAAAAATACGCATTTTCTGACCTCTTCCGGTTTGACCGGAAGTGATGACGTCACCAAACAAATTTTGACGACTCCAATAGATTAACCTTGACATTTTGAACAACTTTGCTTCTTTTTAAAACATATTACAAATTCTTAATACTAATTAAGATATTAAACTTTCGGCCCTTAATTACAGAGGCCAGCCCTTTTTTGAGATGTCATTTGAAAAATCATGTAATTCTACACTTCTTTTGTTTATATCTTTTAACAAAATATTTATAGGTAAAAAGATATCGAAGAAAAGGTATCAGAAATTTTGAAATTCGCGATAGGACTACTTTAGGGCCATCTTGAGCGTCGGCGCTTCGTATTTCCGGTGGTTGAGATTTACCAAATACACATCTCCAAAGGTTGATCTATCAGCATTGAAAATTTCATGCTTCTGTGTTAAGTGGTTTTTGAGAAAACTGCTAGACAAAATTACCTTCTTAAACTCACTAAATCGCAGAAAACTCCTAACCGGAAGAGACGTCATCATAGTCATATAATTTGTTCATATAATTTGTCATCAATGCTAAAAGTTTCATGAAAATCCATCGACGCATTTACGAGAAATCGCCTGCACAAAATCGGTAAGAATAGTTACTAGAGCAAAGCTCGTTGCAAAGCAATGAGTAGGTCTTCCGTCCTGTTTTGAACGGAAGTGACGTCAACAAAAGAAAGCAATGAGCTTAGTCGTCTCCAGTGAGCTTATAATTTCAATTTTGCGTCAAAACCTTCAATAAATAAGCTATTTTTGGCCACTTCCGGTCAAACCGGAAGTGATGTCGACGGACGAAAAATTAAGTTTTCTGCTTCCAGTGACATTTGTTACCCAAGAACTAGTTAAGAACGGCAAAAATATGCATTTTCTGACGAATTCCGGTTTGACCAGAAGTGACGTCGCCAGTTGTATTTTGACGATTTTAATAGATTAAGCTTGACATTTTGATTAACTTTGCTTCTCTTATGTATAACAAATTTTCATTACTTTTTGAGATATCGAGAAAAAACTTTCGACCCCTGTAGATCCCTAATTTTAGGGACAAGCCCTTTTTTCGAGATATCATTTGAAAGATCTCGCAATTCTGCACAAATTTTGACATACAATACAGATATCATATGCTATTAAACTTGACTTTCTCTCATTATTGAATCTTTACTGAATTTATAACAGTTATGTGACGCCTTTTCATCACATAGTTTCATCGTGAGAAGCTGGAAAACAAGGGCTTTTTGAGACACTGCATTATAAATGAATGGTAAAGAATCAGTAAACTAGAGGGAAAATAAAGGCTACATTAAAGCTAATATAAAACTTGTTAAAAATCCCAAAGAAATATTCACAGAAATATGTGTCATTTACAGCAACCAATGCCTGTTTTACAGACAAATGAGCAGGTTTATTTCAATGATAAAAAATTATATAATGGGCATCAAAAATTGGTACCCTCCTTGCCAACTAAACTTATGACAACTTATGTACTGTTTACCAAATTTCAACAAATAATATATGATAATGTATGATTGACTTTAAGACAAATAGCAAATTCGATAGACATCACATCGGGGGTAGTTTACGCTGTTTTTAAGAACCGTTAGACGGTAAAAAGGCTTGGTACCTAAAGGTCACCCTATATTTTTAAAATGAGTGAAAACGACAGCGTGTATGATATTCTTAACAATTACTTTAAAACATCAGTAATTGTAGTTATCCACATTTGTTTTACATTCAAACAGATATTGAACCATGAATCTATTGCTTAAAATCATCAAAACAAAATTTACCATAAGATGTACTTGATGAAAACGGCGAAGGTCTGACAAAAGCAAAGGTATGCAAGAGCAGAAAGACAGATTTATATGCAATTTTCTTAAATATCAATGGTATTGTTGTTCAAATTCGTATTCGGGGAGACAGCTTGATATCTGGAGGCGTCTAGAAAACAATTTTTTGCAACAAAAAATGAAAGGTTTATTAGAGGAAGAAACAGGAATCCACTACATTGAATTTCTTTATGACAGCGTCCAACCCACATGTTCTGAAGAGTAAAGGGTTTTTCGGGATAAACAGAAAGTTAATGTTTTTTTTCACATTAACAATATTTTTCAGATCTTTGACCTTTTGACTTGTTTCTATTTCCAAACTTTAAAAAAAGACCTTTCTGAAGGAAAAAACAAGTCTAGGAAATCATTGGATATGCCATTTTACAGTATACTAAGGGTCATACCCAAAAATGAGTTTTTTTAACAATAAACTAAAAACAATCAGATATTGGATAAAAATGTCACGAACATGTGTTTGAATTAAAAGAGATTAATTAGTAAAATCATGGAGACTAAATCATTGAAAAGCGTCCTTTGCTTCTTTCTGAGCACCGAGGACATTATTTATTGAACAGCCCTCGTGGAAAAGAAAGAATAAGAATAACAGTAAGGTCTTCCGCTGAAGACGAAAGACCTTAATAATAAGAAAAGATGAAAAGAAACAACAGAATAATAAAATCTTCCGTTGAAACGGAAGACCTTAATCAAACCAAATAGCCCAGCCTACAACAAGTGCTATAATTTTAACTTCGAGGGTCATTCTGACAGACCTTCTTGCCAGTACATGCACAAGTGTATTTTAATAGCCATTCTCTGTAACCACTTAAACTTCGTTGCCATGCATGGTCACCGATTTTGATGAAACTTCACCCATGCATAGTACTTGACACCAGAAACAAATATCAAACAAAATTCCGTTGCTATGTGTCTCGGTTGCTATGGCAACAGCCGGACAATTTTGAAAAATCGAGATTTTCAGCCTCTTTAAATCTTCAATGTGGCTTAATAAAAACTAGAAAAAGCAAACAAACCATTCTCACAAAAACATGACACCTTGATGTCACTTATACTCTAAAGAAACTATTAAGAAAATATCTCTAAGTAAGTGATAACCAAGGGTACATTTGGAATACAATTAAAATGCTGAAATATGCTAAAAAACACTCCGTATTCAATAATGGTAGGTGTTACATGCTCAAACTCAATCAACGACTTAAGAAAAACAAAGAAAATGTTTGACCTTTAGTATATAAGTTAAGCAATATTATTCTATAAATAACTTTTATGTATGCCATGGTAACACAGTGTAACCATGCAAAACAAGTAACTAAGATTTGGCTACTGCTACTGTCTTGAGGAAAAACATGAAAATTCAAGACTGGTAAATATGCATCCTTAGGACCTTGCAACACCAAAACCATAAGAAAAATTGGGTATAATTTCTACTTTGCAGTGTTACCATGGAAACAATGTACGAGTGCTTAAAAGTGAATTATTTTTCGCTGCATTAAGAATTAATTTGCCATTTAATCAAGAAGCAAATTAAAGGACTTAGCTTGAATGGTACTTATCTGAAATTGAATATCATATACAATGTATTGATAAAATTTGATGAATAAAACAACACTTTTGCTATGGTTACCAAAAAGGTAAAATGTTCGATTTTGTGAACTTTATATCAATATTAAACCCTGTGTGCCAACTTCTTGCATCCACTTCGAGGTTGGATGATAGCCAAAATTAAAATTCAAGTTGGCTGTTAATAAATATCAATCATAAAAGTTTTGGGAATCTACATTTAAGGGTACGTATCCAAGGAAAGAAAATATTTTTCAGGTTTGTAAGCATATATTTTCTGCTTATTTCCATAGCAACGCTCTATTTAAAGAATCTAATCTGATTTTTTTCAAATGGGTAAACTTGGAGCACACCAACATCTTACAAAATTGATCATTAGTTATGAGGAAATATGTTTTTTTAAAAGATAGGATCAGATTTAAACATACAGATTGTTACTTTGAAGGCTCTCTGTAGTATAAAAACCTTGGCTACCTTTGTCATTCAAAATGAAATATCATATTTTGTTCTTGGTATATGTTTCAAGGCTCTTTTTTTTTGTTCTTATTTTGTTCTTATTTGGTCACATTTCATCATATAATTGCTTTTTATTTTTACGTGTATGACTTAATAAAATTCATTGAATATTTTTTTTTTTACTTTTGAATACTTTGTTACCATAGTAACATATGTAATAGTTGATTTACCAAACATGTTTATCATGCATTTGAGACATCTGACCTTCAACTTTTGAAAACAGTTATTGCCAATTGTTTCCTTTGCCGCAAATGTTAATTATTTGGCTCTAAGCATGTTAAAAAATGCCATTTTTCGAACTTTAAGACACGTTGCAATGGTAACTATAAAACATAGCAACCAATTTTTGCCTGATTTCAGTTTAGGGTATCAATGATTTTATCATAGAGAGCTTGGAGAAATTCTAAGACTACATGTATGCGTGCCACACCTTCTAAATAAAATTTTAAATCATTACAGAGAATGGCTCTTAAACAGGCTGGGGGGGGGGGGACGTAAATTCCGCTATAATAGTGGTATCTCACTATTATAGTGAATTTACGCTATATTTCCTGCCGTGGATACCCTCAATTTCATCCGATACCACGCAAGGCGTTTGAACTGCAAGCCATGGTGGGAAATAAAATGAACAAAAACTGTTAAGCTTGCATGTTCTGAATTTTAATAAATTTTCTTCCTTTGCGTTTAATAATGTGAGCACTCTTTTTTTAACGGAAGTTCCATTTTCAACCTAGCAATCGATGATTACGTGGATATTTAAGCCTATTTGA